AGGAAAGTGACGTCAGAGTAATAGGAGCTACTAAGTGAGCCTTTTGCATCCATGGGTCCTGCATGCATTCAGCCAACTACAGAGAAGAACATATCCACACTGCACATGAATAGACTGTCTTCTTGCCACCATTCCTGAAGCTGTGCAGTGTAGTTACAAAGCACTTACAATGTATTGACTACATCTAAGTGAGATAAGTTAAAGTGTATGGGGGATATTCATAGAATCTATACCAATAATAGGCCATTTTCAATAAGCAACATGAGCATTCCCAGATTTCCCTGCTATGGCCATATGTCTACAAATAAAATAATAAATACAGCATATTTGAAGGTGGTGAAGCTAGAGAGTAAAATGAAGGCTGTGGAGTGTCTATCTTTCAAAATAGGGACCACCCTCAGATAAATGGTCAAGGAAGACCTCGGTGAGAAAGAATATGAGTGGAACCTTTAGATGAATGCAACAGATGAGGCAGGCAATTCAGGTCCAACACAACTGGAGAGATATATGGGCACCTGATTTTCAAAGTCCCTCCTCCATCCATTACAGCAAAATACAAAAGCAGTAAATGTTTCTTATGATTGGCCACATCCACCATATATAAACGTCAGTCATCGAGGTTTACAACCGTATTTTCCGACCAAGAAATAAGTCACCACTGGTCCTGCCTCTGCCTCCTGGAATTTCCATCTCTCTTGCCAGAAAGCAGCATCTGCACAAATCCCCCAGCTCCTGACGACAACGGCTTCTGTGATAAACTACCCGTGTGTGGGGGGAGGGACAGAAAGATGGAGACAGCAAATGGGAAAATGAGTTTTCCCCCTTCAGATTAATGTATATGAAGTATACATCTGACACTTCATCAGCACTCCCGGCTGGTGTCCCAGCGGGCGGACACTGGCTGAGCATGTATTCTGCCAGCTACCAGGCTACTTAGGATGAATTGGCAACATGCCATTTATCTGAAATGCCCAAAGTGTCTTGGAGAGGGAACACAACTACATTTAGCATTGCCAAGGAAAACTAGATACTTCAGGCTAGGAATTAATCTCCTCCTTGAGACGGTAGTTAGCAGAACCTTCAAATGTGCCCATGGCTTTTAGAAAACTACAGGTCATGCGTTTGCTAAAATTCATACCCATCAAATCACAGAGCCTTCATTAATATCTTGCTAGCATATTCTCAACTCTCAGGTAAAATGTCCATACCAAAATGTGAGTTGTTTTGATGGAACAGAATTCTGTCACATCGTATGTGATGCTGCCATTTAGCACTTTGAATATTTGTTTTCTGATTCTCCTACACTTGGACAAGTATCTCTTCAACTTAGTGATTAGGAAAAAAGTCAATAAAAAATTTAAACCACAATGACTACAGAGACGCTGCTTGTGGACAATGATAATCATGTTGCAATTTTGTCATCATAGTTTTTGAGTGGCTGACATGCACTAATTGGGATTTGGCCTGCTATATGGATTTTAAAGATAGTCCCAATTGTAAGATACACATAGAACAACAGAAATCAAGGCTTTAAATGGGTGATATCATTAGACCATCAATCAGAGCACACACTCATACACCATTGCTTTATCTTGAGACTAGAGAAAGCTGACATTTCTTTTCATGAACACTCATCTGTTACTTCATTACTATTTATTGAATGCCTCCCACATGGAAGGCTCTGTGCTAAGGGCAGCAGGGAGCAGAAAAATGGAGCCATCCAATCAGTCTGCCCTCAGGAGGCTTACAATATTACACGAAGAGTTAAGCATTCAAAGGAATATCATGATTGACACTAAACGCATTGGGAAAGTTAGCTCATAGCTCTAAGGGGTCCCAGAAATAAGGCCAGAGGCCAGGAAGGCAGGACCAGCCAGTGCGGAGGCATGTTCCACTGCATAGGGCAACTCCACAAATTCATCTTGTTTGGAAAAGGATTAAATGGAAGAAGGAAAACTAAAGGTAATGAAAACAAAGGCCTCTAACAGCTGTCCATTGCCACCTCCTCAGCAGCATTCTCTAGTCATTCTGTTATTATTTTTAATGTCCACAGTGTTCTGCCTGCACACCAGAAGGGGGCAACATATCTCATTATAATTGGTTGTGAGCCACCATGTGGATGCTAGGAATTGAACTCAGGACCTCTGGAAGAACAGCCAGTGCTCTTAACTTCTGAGCCATCTCCCCAGCCCCAATCTGTTACTTTTAATCAACGAAAATAATTTAAATCCAAATATGACAGGAACATGGAACAGGCTAAATGTTAAGGTCCTGTTAGTTATGCAGTCACATAAATGGTACTGGCAACAAAACAGATTCAGAGTGTACCACAGTGACTTACTGATGTAAGGATTTTGCCATGCCACAACAGACCCAGGAAGTCAAGATGGGGCCCTGCCCAGCAGGACACCTTGACAACCCCAAAGTAAATGGCTTAAACATAGTCAGGTCTCTGTGTCCAAATTTAGCCACAGTTCATGTGAAGCTTCATAAAGCTTGTGGGTAGACCAGCTATGAATCTAAATGATTCCTGCTAAGAATGTTATCTTATCTATTAGCATTTCTTATTTTTGTGTCCTATTCCCAATACTTTAGGTGGTGTGGTGTGCATTTGAGCAATAAAAACATCAGTCTGTGTCTGGGCATGTGATCACAGTATTAGGTGCTAAGAGTATGTGGGGCTGAGTTTCCTTCATTAGAATGCTTCACTTTCCAACAAGCATGGACATAGAATTACTATTCAAATGTTAGGATTGCAATGTTTGAATTACACTGTCACAAATCATAAATTGTGAAGTATTTTTGTCTTAAAAGGTAAATGTTTGCAGAGAAATCAGGTTTTAACAGGTTCCCCAAGGCAAACAATTCTGCTAGGAGGGGGTAGGAGGGTGATGAAGGAGGACCAAACTCCCCACTACCGACCGCTTCAGTATCTTCTCTGGAGATCATTATTCCATACATTCATACTGTTAATCTTTTTGAAAGAAGGTTCAGAAAATTTCAGAGTCAAATGGGCTTCACGGACTGTTTTTAATGTATTTTTGTATTCTGCAATTGCAGATCAGATTGAAGGAATTTGGGGAACTAAGACTTGCCCAAGTTTATGCCTCTCTTTAATGCCAAAGTAGGACTGGAGGCTAAACCAAAATCAAATCTCCATGCACTATATCATGACCAAATAGCCAACATAAGTTCCCATCAGTGTATCTTATATATATTATTCCCATTTTTGTGAAGAAGACATTTTTAAAAATCTATTATTATGCCATGCTACTTTACCACGGATGCAAAAGTAACATATAGACTTTTTGTTTTGTTGTTCAATTCCATGGTTTTTTGTTTGTTTGTTTGCTTGTTTGGGTGCAGAGGAATAAAGCCAGGGCCTCACCAAGTTGTAAAGATTTTAACATGAGTTAGAATAGATAAGTGACTATCCACTAAGGAGTGGGGGGAAAGACTCAGTAGATATAGTGATTGTCACTCAAACATGAGAACTAGAGTACGTATTCCCAGAACCCAGCATGGAAGCACTTGGGAGGCAGAGACAAGGGATCCTTGGGCAAACTGGCTAGCTATGATAACTGGAATCAGTGAAACTCCAGATTCATCAAGTGACTCTGAATAATACATAAAGTGGAGAGTGACCAAGAAAGACAGTGGAGAGTGACCAAGAAAGACAATGTCAAGTTTAAGCCTCCACACATGTGCACATAAATGTATATTCACATACATGTAATACCACACATACGTGCATACGCACATTTTTAAAAAGGTGTCCAGCAAGAGAACAAAAATCTAGTAAGCATAATGGCTAAAAATCAAGGTTACACTGAGAAAGTAAAAAAGAAAGCCCAAGTCTATGCTAGCAAATATGTCCCAACTAGTGAATATGGAGGGTATTAATACTGGAAGGTCATTTTTTTTTTCTGTGCAGGGGAAAAATCCAGGACTTCCCACATGCTATCAAGTACTCTCCCACAGAGCTACATTCCTAGCCCCCACCATTTTTAATCATCATAAAAAAAGAATGATCCTTCCAAGAATCGCCAACAGATGCTGAATTCAGGGGAAATTTTTGGCGAGAAGCATGTTTGCATAGCCTAGACTATCTCCCCAGATAGCTCCTACACTGCAAGGGAGAAAGTCAGTGGTAACTACTGCAGAACAACCAGGCAGCACCTCGACTGGGTTATCCAAATTAACAACACAGTGAGGGGTAGCAAGGCATCCTGCACCTGTCAATAGCATGTCCTGAGGAAACATCACCAGTTCTCAATTTGGAACAGGAAAGCACAAACCAGTGTCTTGCCATGGGAAAACGGCAGATGAGCACAACATGAAAAATTGTCTATAAATTTTCTCCAACAATGTCGATGTAAGAAAAGAAGAGCAAGGCTATGGGAGCACACCAGATCAAAGGAGAGCAAAGAGAGGAGGGCTGGAGACCAGAGGCCTGGTGCTGCACTGCCACTGCTGAGGACAAGTGTTTGAAATTGAACCAGACTGCTAAGCTGACACTGGGTTGTATCAGCGAGAAAATTGCTCAAGTTGACAACTACCAAACAAAGAGAATATGGACACACATCTTACTCTCAGATGACTCAATGCATGCCTACATAAGCATGTGCTCACACCATGCTCACATTTATACACAAAACACAAGTGATAAACAAGTTGGGCAAGGTGATCTGATAATGAACAGACTGCTGTCATCTGTGGTTTTCTTGCCCTTGGAATTTACCACAGTCTTTTACTTATTCATTATTTATTTATTTATTTATTTGAAATGGTTTTGTTGTTTGTGCTGAGCCAAATAGAAATATTTCACATTTGGGGGAGGGCAGGAAGAAATGGCAGATAGAGAGCCAGACACACCCATTGCCCAACCTGCAGTCAACGCTACATGTATGTAAATGCAAACCCAGTTACACTTGAAGCGGCTAGACAGAACCCACTGAGATAATGGCCATGGCAACTCCGGCCACATGCAAGACACTTACCAAACTGGCGGTGAGCGAGGGCGCTGACTGGCCCAGTGCCTGGCTGCGCATGCGCACAAGGTTGGACGTCTCAGCTGAGGCAGGCCAGGCCTGTCCTGCCACCGGGTTTGGAAGGAGGTACCTCCCTGTTGGAATAGAAAAGAAAAGAGTAAGCAGCAGGCCAACGACATAGTTCTGCAGATACTGGGCGACTCCAAGCCATCTTTCTTCTGCATCCCTTCTGCCATGCTCTGTTGCTATGCTGATTACTGGCAGCCAGAGAAAAAATGTTTTAATTAAGTCAGGAGATACCGTGGTGGGCTCTGACCCTGACTTCCCACTGAAGCCTAAGTAAATCACTTCGTATGTTGGGCATTGGGGGGCTTCATCCGGGTTAGGATGAGGGTTTTTTATCTTCCTGCCTATTCATGAGAATGTTTTTGGGAATATATGTAAATACACAATGTACTCTCATCACAAAAATAAATGTTCTGTGTTTGTGATGCTATTTTGAAGAAAATCTAATATGGAAAGCAATCTAGAAATGAGATACAAAGTGGAGGTTGTGACCACCAAAGAGGAGGTGGTGTTCTCTCAAGGTGAAATGGGCTGGTGTCCCTTTCCCCAGCTTCTCTCTGTCAAGTGCAGGTGGCTGTCCAACCATGTCCATAGGATACATGATAGTATCCATTTGCATCAATCAGGACATCAGTGTCAGTCTAGGTTCACTGTGCAATTTCCATCAACTCCAACTCTGATACACATACATACACACATACATATGCACCACAAATACACACACACACACACACACACACACACACACACACACACACACTTTTAGAAGTCAACCACCTGACAGATCTACACTGTAGTTCCAGATACAGACTAGCATGCCATCAACACAAGGGAGTTTGATTTCTTTGTGTCAGTAAAGTTAGAACGCCCATGACTATTAACACAGTAATGATGCTTAATAAACACAATGTCTTGTCTTACCTGCTTTGCTTCGCTCTTAGCACAGTGACTATTACTAAATGGTGCAAAGAAGAGAGGGCATTTTCTTTCCAGAAACACAGAATAATAAAAGGAAACACTCTAACCTGTGGAGCCTCTAGGGGGCTCTGTAGTGCACACAGCTGCTCGCCCTGTATCAAAAGGGACACGGGCTCCCTCCCTCAAGCATGTACCTAACAAGTATATCTGACTAGTTAATGATGACTGTGGTATTTATTATGTAGTGCAATGAATGCTGGTCCCCAGCACTACAGAAGCTAAGCATTATGGGCATCATCCATCAACCATCAGGTCAAATGATCTAATGCTTTATTTAACCAAAGTGCTCTCAGAATTTTGTATTTTAATTACAGAAGGGAAAATGACTTCTTATTTTGCACAACTGATCAATTCCTCATTGCATAGTGTGAGTACAGAACTAAGAATGAACTAGCTTGATGTCATGACATTGCCCCTGGATCTAAAGGATACTAGGGCAAGGGATTTAGTCACCCTCTCTTGACACTGGTTTCTCCACCTCTAAAATGGACCTGCTTGAATCATCCATGCAGAGTTACTGAGGGGGGTTTTGAGTAAAGTGCACATTGCCTATTTGGCTATAGCGTTGAGTAGTATAATAATGGGAAAAGACAATTTCAGGTTAGGTTTTACTTCTTATCACTCAAAACTAGAAAATGTACATGTGTGAAAACAAAATTACAGCAGAGAAAAATCACCTTGGACATGCCCATGTCTGTCTATGAAATACATTTTCTTGCAAATATGGAATCACAATGATTTTTGTCAGTTGTTCCTCATCAGTTCTATACACTAGAGTATGTCTTTTGAAAGTACGTGTGTGTGTGTGTGTGTGTGTGTGTGTGTGTGTGTGTGTGCGCATGCAGGTACATACCTGCCATGGCATGTGTGCAGTAGTCAGAGGACAACCGCTCTGGGGTCATTCTCTCCTCCCACATTTATGTGGGTTCTGGGGCTTGAACTCAAATCACCAGGCTTGCACAAAAAGCACTTTATCCATGGACCCATTTTGCTGGCACTGGAATATGACTTTCTTAACCAAACACACATAGCAACCAGCACCTAAAAAATGAAGGCTGCCAGTGAAAACTCAGACATAATTCGTTACCTCTGTGGATCTGAACAGTTTTGTGAAATAATGATACATTAAAAGTAGGGAGTGTGGAATCTGGGCTTTTTCTCTTGCCTTATTTTGAAACATGAGTTAGAAGGTGTATTAAGACAGGTGCTAGGACTTATCACTGTAGCTCCAAAAGAGGACATCAATGAGAAACGACAGGAAAGCAACGGGCTGTGTTTAGGAAAACAGGGTGCATACAGTATGAAAATACAGTTTCGTTATAACACAGATGTAAGATACAACCTTTTAAAAACATACCAGCTTGATGAGTAATCTGTATGATAGGCTCAGGGAAGGGCATCAGTCAGTCTTTTCCTGTACCTTATGCTCCATTTCCTTTATGTTTGAAGAGAGGGGCTACTGCAGCCATGGAGTACTAGACAGCAAGGCTATTGTGATGTAGGAAATCCTTACTGTGCTGCTCTCTGAAGATAAACTTCTTTTTTTTAAATCTAAGACTACAAAACACTTAGAAAACATGACTGTTAAGTTCACTTAAAAGATCTACAAATCAGTTTTTCTTCTTCATTCAGTAGTAAGGAATTATTAAAGTGTGTTGCTAAGATCCCAGATACAGGAAACAGGGTTATTCATTTGTGTACCTAGTTCCTGGGGAAGGAGGTGGCCCTTGGTACAACTTCAATAACTGCTGATTGACTGAATGCAATCAGTCCTAAGTAGCTAAGCAACACCTGACCTGGTCCAAGCAGAAAGAATCAGTGAAAAGATCATTTTTTATCCATAAGAACAGTGCAATACCTACAATCCAACAGGGCTTTGGTGCACACCAGGCTCTGCAACATTGTGATAGCCTTGTGGGTACAGAATGTCCCCTCCACTGTCAGTGCAGATAGGTTCTGTAGCTAGGCAAAAGTTCACAGCCAAATAAGCAAGCTGCTGAAACCACTGTGCACTGTGCTGGCCCCTGAGCCACAATTCTAAAGCAAGATGATAGTTATCATATATGCTTAGGTGGAAATATGCTACAAAATGAGAGAATGAATTCTACTATGTGTGAGAGAGTGTGTGTGTGTGTGTGTGTGTGTGTGTGTGTGTGTGTGTGTGTGTGTGTGTAAGGGTACATCACCTGGAAACATAGGAACAGAATTATTCAAACAAAAGGCTGGGAATCAGGCAAACAACTCTGCTTCAAATCTAGTTCTTACTAGATGTGTGTCAGTCAAATTGGTGAGCTTCACACATCATGTCAAAGTCTGGTCCTCCTCCACCACAGTGGTGATAAAGCATCCTCCGTTGGCTGTGGTCTTAACGAGGTCACTTAACACAGAAGGTACAACACATTTCTTCATGGAAATAGCAAGATCAGCATTCTCTCCGGAGAAGGAAGTGGTTGCCTCAGAAGCCTGACAACATGAGTTTGGTCCCCAGAACCCACATAAAGGTGGGAGGAGATAGCTTATTCCACAGTTATTCTCTCACATATATGCTGTGGCATGTGTGTGCACACACACAACAACAACAATAGTTTTAAGAAGAATGTAGAATTTCAAACTTATCTGCCAGACAGTTTTGCTAGTTCAACTCAAAAGTCTAAATAGAGAAATTAAGTGTGTGACTTGTGGCTGCAAATATTTCCATTATTTCCATTTTGAACCTGGTGAGTGCACCAAATGTTAAGCTTCATTATAGTGACTGGGAGGTGTATGGAGTTGTAGTGAATGATCCTCTGTTACTGTACATAAATTTTTACAACTTTGCTTTGGTTGTTTTATCAAAAATGTGTTCCTTATTCTGAGTGAGCAAATTAGCCCCAGACACATTCCTTCTACTCCTCCAAATGACAGTTCCTGAGTCATAGGGTTACAGATGAGATAGCCTTGAGTCAGGAAGAGGTCTGATGGACAATCAGAGCAAAAGGGAACCACAAGGAGCCTCCTCATCAGAGCCAACACTCTTGGCTAACCCTTTGTACAGGATGCTAATCGGTGAAGATCATTGATCACTGGGTTGAGGCAGAGCCAGACTGGACAGAAGCCAGAAACAGCAGAAGGAATGCCAAGAAGGGGCCAAAGTGTGGCCCTTTCACACACGCTGACCTTCCCTTTGAAAATCTGCCTCTTGTTAAAGCTCCCAGGAGTTTTTCAAATATGGAGAGGCTTTCTGGTAACAAGACCTGAATGCTACCTTGCCTTTCACTGACATCACTATTAAAGCTAATTCCATATCTTATTCGCTGCTCTCATACATTGATTCTACCTCATTATGAAGAACAAAGGTAAGCCCCCAATTTCTTTGCTACCTAAAAAGAGTCTAACCCAGAAGATGACACTTAGATTTGATAACTAACCAGCCAATGTCTGTGCACACATCTTAGACTCTCTTTAAACCTAAGAGGATGTAAAGGCCACTGGCAACAGTGGTAAATAATAACTACTTTAGCTGTGGGTGACTCTAAGGTCAGACTTGTGAGTTTTATGGCTGAACCCCAAAACTGATTCTTTTACTTATTCCATAACCTTTTCCATGCCTCAGGCTCTTCAGTTGTAAAGTGGAGGAAAACTAACAGGGTTGTTGTAAATCTAATGCAGAAAATACACCACAGAGCTCAAGACTCAACCAAATCAGCTTAACATATAAGGAATACAATACAGATTATAGTGAGTAGGAAAAGCTAGTTATGATACTAGAAAAAGTAATTACTAAGTGCACAGACATGTACATAATAAAATGTGTATAAATCGTGTAATAGGTTAGAGCTCAGAGGTCATTATTTTTGCATAGGACTTATCTGAAAGAATCATACAAATGCTACAAATTACACAGTCTGTTAATACAACACATGGGGATACATCCGTCCTGCCTGGACCCCACTTAGTGTTAATAGGGAAAAGAGAATAACAGATGGGTCTAAGGCAATCATTAGAAGATACTAACATAGCGCTGTAGCTGGTAGCGATCACATCAAACTTCATATAAATTTACTTTCTGATGACTACCAAGGGCTTCTAAAAAGTGTGTTGCTGTTACATT